TTTTCCAAGTGATTCATTAGAAATTCTAACATATCCCTAAAGATTGACGCTTTGCGTCCAGTACAGACGGCGAAACATGTTCGATGCTAACGTCTCCCGACAAAAGTGGAAAGAAGTCGTCCGGCGTTCTTCATCATTAAACACATCAAATTGCATGCATTCGGGTGAGAGCCAACGGAATTGAAATTAAAATTCTGGAGTGTTTTCCAACCAGGTTCACAACTGAAAATGGTGGTTCAATAAGAACCAGCCAGTAAGATTCTATTTAAAGCTTCATTTCTTATCTTTATTGAATGTTCACCTAATCTAAGAGTCATTTTGATAGACACAAATCAGCTGGTGTTTTCTCAGATTATCATGTGATTGTGTTTTCATTTACACCCCAATCGATCAGCTGCTCCACGCTTCCCGCCCGACTTTGTCCGATTCCGTGAGAAGGTTGTGGTCCGCCTGGGCACAGATGTGGAATTCGAATGCCCCGTCCTGGGCTCACCTCCACCGACCATCACATGGTACTATAACGGGGCTCCGCTGAATCAGTTCACCGCGCCAACCAAATATCTATTCGAGGATGAGGGTAAATTGTTGCGAATCGGCGCCACCACGGGAAAAGATGCCGGGGAATATCAATGCATGGCACGAAATGAAGTGGGCAATGTGACCAAGATTTATGAGCTGGATGTGATCAGTAAGTTGGCAAAGACAGTTTTTGTTTCAGAATTGATGAAAACTTCATAAAATTTCATAATTTCATTCTTCAGTCACTGAATAAAGGAGAGAACAAATGTTCAGAGTCGAATAATTGTTTTCAAGGGTTCATGCACCAGTTTGTACAGATCGTAAGAGGAAGTGGATTGTTTGCTACCGGTATACTTTTAGTCGATCAAAGGTGATCGTTTTTGCATGTGAGTAATGGAGGGTTTGATCAGGAATGATGAAACAACGCAGTAAGAGGAGAGTCGAACGAGGGGGTCGGGGTTGAGGTCCATTGAGCCTGGAACGCTTAAGCCGCAACAGCAGGTTGTGATGTGTGTGTGTGTGTGTGTGTGTGTGTAACTGATCTCCATTCATGGTAGTTATATGACACAGATGAATCTCTTTGAGTAATTAGGTTAAATAGAAATAGTCTAAATGAGTTCAAACGTCCAGATGGTAGCTTCTACACTCGCTCAGTACAATGCAACCGATAAGTTTCTACCAGTACCCGGGTAAGAATCTTTTTGTGGGGTTCTATAATACATAGAATATATATATATATATATATATATATATATATATATATATA